CGCCTCACCCCGCGCGCGCTATCGCCACTCAGCTATATTGTTATCGGCCCGCCTCGCTCTACACGTAGGGTTGAAAATGATTGTGTTTTGATTTTTTTTTATTTAAATCTTTGATTTTATAACTTTTATTAATAACGAAGAATTATTTATAAACTTTATCCTGTAATTCCATAATTAAATATTTTTTAGTAATCAACTTTGGAGATAAAAACAATACTTATTAACTTACTTTTATAATGCATTTTGTTAATTTTAAAATTTAAAAATGCTATGTACAGTTACTACTCTCATTTCATTTCACTTAGAATAAAACTCTAATATCTTCAACAATAAATATAATTTGAATACGTGAATTACAAAAATATACTTGAACTCAGTGTCAGCCCTGAGTTACACAGAGGCGCGGCGGCCGGCGCGGAACAAAGCGCCGAGCGCCGCCGCTCACTGCGACTGTACTCCGCTTATCATGTCTTGATACTATGAATATTTAACTCAATAAAAATTGTAATAAATTATCTGCCATAAAAGATGCCATAAGACTCACTCTGCCATTGAGTATTTATTAGAAATAATCATTGATAACCTTCAATTCGTGAAGAAATTTTTGTTGTGTGTTTCTATTAAAAAAAAATTATTTTTAATAAACTAAAGCCTCTATTCAGGAAATAATAATCACGTGCTATTAAAATAAACACTTTTTCATCGCATAAAATATTTATTACTCTCATTTAAAATAATATATTATGAAAGTATCAAGATGTGTCGTGCGGGTAAGGTACATTAGGCAATGATTCAGCGAGGTGCGGCGCGGCCCGCGTCGCGTGTGGAGCTTGCACTACCGCACTACCGCTACCGCACATATCGTACTACCGCACTACCGCAGTGATGGCTATGCTGTGCTATCCGTAACCAAACCAAACGTATATATAACTGTCATCCGTGACTTGTAAGAGTAACAAAAACTGTAGTCTTTATATGTTCCAAATTTCATCCAGATCCTTTGAAATTTACTGGAGTTACTGTTAAATAGTTATTTTTATTCTGGAGCGAATGTACCTGAAGATTTGTTCTACGCTGTTTTTCATAAAGTGAAAAATAAATATTATCTTGCTTAATAGATGGTTACCTTCGAAATTGAATAAGGAATTGAGAAAACAATAGTTAAATATAAATTATAAATCTATTTTTAGTGTTAACAAATTAACAATTTTTGAAACGTGTTCAAGTATCTAAGCGCCATCTATTGTGCAGTAACTGAAGTAACATTTTTGAAGTTTGAAATTTATTCAAAGTTTCTACTTTCTTTTCAAATTCTTAACTATAAATTAAATATTAAATTTTAAAAAGAATTTGAATACCTTAGTTGGATATTCGTGATAAGAATGTTTTATTAATAAGATATTGATATTAATTCTTTACCTCTCAGCACAAATACGCGAGACTCCTAATCGACGAACATTTACATAGATGGCGCTTTCAGAAATTCCGTATTTTTAAGGAAGTTGCAAGAATTTATAAAGAAATTTACAAGAGATTGAAAAAGCAACAATCAAAACACTACAATTACTTTAATATTGTCAGAAATTATTAATTAAAAACACACTTACCCTAACAACGACGTCGGATTGGATTGAATATGCCAGTTTATAGTTTCTTACTTTGCGATAGATGTCGCTGTACCGCTCTTGTATTTTATAATACGCGATATTGAAAATCTTTCGCTGGGAATGACCCGTGCGGGCCGCGGTTAGGAAATCATACTTACCTGGCGTAGGGGTTACCGTGATCACGAAGGCGGTTCCCCCAGGGCGAGGCCCCTCCATTGCACTGCGGTTGGGTTGACCCCTGCGATTATCCCTAATGCGGATAACTCGGACGCGTAATTTTTGGTAGTGGGGACTGCGTACGCGCCGTCCCCCCATATTAAATTAATATTAGCACTGAGACATCGGAAAAGTCCCATTCATTGTCTCTAGACTGTCCCATCTATGGATGGATTGGATTCATAGATCCATACCATAGTATGGATTCTTTGTTATGGTAGTATCGTAAGATATTTAATACGGGTATAGAACCTAGTTTAGGAATCAGGCGTACTATTACTATGTAATTTTATCATAATTTTTGTTGCCTAAATAAACGATTATTATTATTATATTATTAATATCAAAAGGATAACCGTTTAAGGTACACTTACATTAGCCGGTGGACTAAAGGACGGAGTGCTAAAATTCGTTGCGGGCCGTACGTACTGTGCGTCCAGCGCGGGAAAATGTACGCGTACTTTTAGGGACGATGCAGTAATTATTACTATATTTGCTGCAAGTAATTTATTAATATTTCGTTTGTCATACACCAGTATAATTATACAATTGAAACATAACAAAACTTACTTCTCCTACACACAAATATAACTAAGACGAACATACTTATAGAAATTTATACAAACATCAAATTCAATACTCAAGTAAATATGGTAAAGAAATTATTTTTTAAATAAAAATAACACAGTATTTATGAAATAAAATACATATTCTTTTATAGATGGAGAAAAATTACAATATACATACATGCAATAATTTTAAATTTTTATTATCTTCTAGTCTTATTGAGAAAAACGACACGTAACTACTGTCAAATTGACAACCATAATTTACAAAATAAAAAAAAACAACATCCATTATTTCTAGTCCTACTGAATTACGTGTACATCTAAAAATTATCATTTGCAAAAAATCTTTTGCAATCTTAGTATGTTCAATACTAGTTCTAAAAATGTAATTCCTTGAAACAATCAAATGTATAGGAATTTCATTTTTGAAAGTTTATTAAAAAGGACTTGACATATTAAACTTAATATTTATTATATTCCACATTTTCATTCGCATGCTTCTTGAGTTTGTGCTTCTTAAGATATTTGGAATCAATAAATCCTTCACCACATATCGAGCAAACGTACGGCCTTTCACCTGTGTGTGTACGTAAGTGGACAACCAAATTACCTTTCAATGCAAAGAACTTCATACACACAGAACATCCAAACTTCTTCTCCCTAGTATGAGTTAATTGATGGGTCCGGAGATGTGTTTTAGTTTTGAACCTTAACGGACATAATTGACAAGGAAATGGTCTCTCGTTTGTATGCACTCGTTCATGCATAGTCAGCATCGCCTGACTGGCGCAGCTTTTCCCACAAATACTACATTCAAATCTCTTCATAGTTTTATTCCTCATAATCTTTTGAGACTCGGTAAATTCACTACTTTCTACTATATGAGTGCTTTCTATATGTTGTTCTAACGCCGACTCTAATGAGAACATTTTCTTGCACAAAGAACAAGCATAGCCTAGAACTTTGCCTAGATTTGTAGTTATTTCCTGTTTGACAGTCTTCATTAATTCCTCTTTGGCTTTGAGCACTTTACTTTTACTGCATTCTTCAAAATCGCGATGTGTGGTGAGGTCTTCTTTAGTTTTAAACGTCATATCACATTGGTTACATGAAAATGAGTTTAAATGGTTCAACCGATGTGTTTGCATTGTTATCTTTTGGTGGAACCTTTTCAAACAGATGTCACATTCAAATTCTCTTATATCATTATGTATCATCATGTGACGTTTCAAATTGTGTTGATTAGCAAATGTTTTGAAGCAAATATTGCAACGAGGTTTATTATTATGAACATATTTGATATGTTGTGTTAATGAATTACGTCGAATTAATTGTTTACAAAAGGGACAGGTGACTACCGGTCCTGTTACACTATGCAATAACATATGACCGATTAATATTTCTGATGTTTCAAAACCTTTGCCACATAAATTACATAAATGTTCACCAGCTGGGTTATGTTGGTGCTGATGTTGTTCATATTCATCCAAGTTCTGTAACTGTTCACCGCAGTCACATACAAATGTACCATCTTCTTGTTGCATCACAGTTGTGATCTCACTATCATCAGCATACTCTATCACTAATTCGGAACCATCACATTTAAGGATCTGGTATTGTGATGAATCATCACCTTCACATAATATCACCTCCTCCTGTGTTGTTACACCTTCATCGTCTTCAATTGAAATATACTGTTGTCCGGATAAATATTTGACATGTTCCTTTTTAACCATTAAAGTCCTTTCGTTCCCTGCGCTGGTTAATATTTTAATTAGATTGGAATTCTTTGAGATTTCTTCTATATTTTGTGATTCTTCATTAGAATTGTTATCCATTTCAATTGAGTCTTGAGAATGCGTTTGTATTAAATGAGGTAACATTTGAGTTGCATTATCTGTCTCATCAACTTGCATACCTACAAAGTTATTATCATTATCTTGAGTTTCTTCATTCTCTAATATAGTTTCGGGAACTCTATCAGATACTTTGGAGTTAGTTAGTAAAAAAGAATCTATGGAATCTTCAAAATGCGTATCTTGATTTTCATTTTCTTGTATTTCTTCATTTACCTCTTCAAATTCTGGTTCATTTATAACTTCTTCTTTGATATTATTCTCTGATAATTCTTGATTTTCAAGAGCTTTTTTCTTTTCATCATCTATTACGAGTACGTAATAATAATCATCATCATCCACATCAATGGGTTCAGATTTTATAATACCCTCGAGTTGTTTCATAGTTTCATCATCAACATCTACATTACCTTTCTTCTTATGTTTCTTATGACTTGTTTGTTCTTCTTCTGCTTCTTTCAGCAAGTCCAATTGGTATCTTAACTCTTTATCCATTTTCAAACATTGTTTACGGAAATGATATGCAGAGTTTAAAATGGAGAAGCAATCCTCGCAGAGCTTCTGCGGCAATCCATCATCTTCTTTAACCTGGAATTGATAGAAGAAGCTTATTAATAAGAGTTATAGTCAAAAGTGATTTAATTTATTTGGACATATGTTGAATAGATTGTTATTTTATAGTGATAATAAAAACTAATAACTGACATAATAAAAGTTGATTTTGTTAACCTATTTAACACTAAAATATTGATCATAATCTTAAATCTTATTAATATAAATGTGTATATTTGGATGGATGTTTGTTTGAAGGTATTTGCTATCTCTCTCGCATGGATCTTATTGAAATTTGGCATAAATTTGGGGTAGAACACATAGACTATTATTAAGTTTTTATTTTATTCCGCATGGACAGAAGCACTGGCAACAACTAGTAATAAAATAATAAAGTTGCAGTTTTATTAAATTATTGTTCTTTGTTGAATTTTGTGATTTGATAGGATACAAAAAATACAACCCAAATTTGTTGAAATATCATGGATAACAATCTAATTGACAGTACTGCTTTGGTTAATGTGTTCTATCATATTTTACTGGGTTTCAAAATAAATGTTTTATGTCCAGTCATTCTATGTAGGAGTTTGTAAGTTAAATTGTGTACAATAATTATAATAGCATAATAATAATAACTAAGGAAGCCAAATTTTAAGTAGAATAACACCTTTTAGAAATAGTGCTGTTTGTATGTGATTCATTTCAAGTTTGCTCTAGAAATGTTTTAGATGTTTTATCTTCACAGATGCTTAAAATTAATATCCAAATTAATTATGAAAATTGCTTACTTCTAGGGTTGTTACTTCTTTAAACTTGCTATTTACGTTTTGTGCCGAGTCTAACAATGGCACACCGGAATCGGGTGATAGGCAGCAACGACACAGATTTGCCCAAGCCTCCATCTCAGATCACTTTATACATAATTAACCAATCCAATAAACCTGAAATATACAATAATTGCTTTATTTCACACATTGTTTTGACAGTTGCTTGTAAGTAATCAGAGAGCACAATAAAGTGGGAATCCAAAGAGAAAAATTATCTACGGACCTTGGCCATAAAGACGATCTATTCCAAATTATAGACAAGAGACAGAGAGAAGCAAATGGCGCCACGGCACGCGTTGCCTCAAAACGGAAGTGCTATTTGGCGGGATGACAGTTGACATTGTCATGCTTGTGTTGTCATTATGGCAGCTCTGAATAATCGAAAAGTAAATTCCGTTTTACGAAAGTTTTTTCATTCTTATTTTTATTGGATATTAATTGATTTTGTATTTATCATATTATTTTATATAATTGACGCCTTGTCTAAGAATCATTTATTACAATTAATTTTTGTCAGTTCATTTTGATATCGATTATTTAAGTCGATAAAAGCTAATCATTTGTAAAATCGATATAGCTCATCGATTTATGACTTCGGAACCGAATTGGAGTTTGGGCTTTTGTGTTTCGTTTAGTCGCCCATCCTAACAAATGCAAGGCGTGTGAAAAGACTTCTTGGGGCCTTCTTTGTCGTAAACTTGAAACTTCATACTTGTATCACTGTATAAAAATTCTAATTCTAAAGTTTTCTAGAAACACGTTAAATTTTCTTAGACAATTTTTTTTCAAATAGTAATAGAAAATGTGTTCAAATTTGTAAGAGTACTGGGTACAAAACTCGATTATGGCAAAATATAGAACATTTAGCGGCAATGTTTGCCGTTATATCGTAGTTGGGCCATTAGGACGGCGCAACAGCCTTCGTTATGAGGCTATTTAAATGCGTACTAAAGTACAGATAGCGCGGATATTTGTTATTACGTTAAATTTTATCGAAACCAACATGTTAAGGTAGTTGAGTTGGCTCGTTTAATATTACAGTTTTGTTTTTCTTTCAGAAGATTAACTTTTTAAAGAAATTACGATCGCACTCACGGTCGTTAAATGGTCAATTAAAGCGCCTCTAACTTTTTATTAATTTAAATAACACTCGTTGATTTTGTACGAATTTTCGGACAGTGAAAACTTTCGGTATAATAACGAACGAGTGAACGTAAAGGCTTTTTAAATTAATCTGGAAATTACGCGTTCATTTCCTATTGGAATTTCGCAGTGCGTTGTTCAAAAAGTAGGACGAGGTGAAAATGTTCAATTTGTGTGACACCAAAATTGCTCTTTCGTAAGCACAGTGAGCTTCACAACTATTATACTAGTGGTAGGTAGTAGATATTTATACTAGTAGGTGAACTGATCACATAGGTTTTTCAAACTAGTATTATATTTGTACACAGTAATGGTTTTAGCTCTACTAGAAGTCGGTGAAGTTTCTACGCCCCCTTGTTTTACTATACCGTGGAGGGCGTAGGTAACAGTTATGTGAGACTGTGTAATTTCGTAAACCTATGGCGCCACTTTCCTGGCGCCCATTAGTGGCGCCCATTTCGTGTCGCTCATAACAAGCGCCCCGTTTCTGGCACCCGTTTTTTGGCGCCTTTTTCCTTTCGCCCTTTTCTTGGCGCCTTTTTCCTGGCGCCCTTTTCTTGGCGCCTTGTGCGGTCTCCCAACCGCCGGCCTAACGCCGGCCCTGTAAACAAACAGTACATCTATAAATCTCTACCTGTGACAAGTCTCATTTCCTGTACATTTTATTTTAGCTGAAACAATACAGTACGTTTGTTTTTATATCCTTCTCGTAAACTATTATTTTTGCACTGAATTTTTGATAACTTCATTTCAAATGATAAACTATATATCCATCCCGCTATTGTTGAAACTTATATGCTATAACAAAACGTTATTATTGTAGTTTTATTTTAAACATATAAAATATATTTATGTACATTAAATTGAATGTCAACAAAGTTAATTAACGACAATTTTATATATAAAATTAGCTGTCGCCCGCGACTCCGTCAGCGTGGATATATAAAAAACTTAATATATAGATAAGTCATATAAAAAGCCGCTTTTCTAGGCTTGAATTCCAAAAAAAGAATAAATATTATCCTATATCCGTCTCCCCGGCTCTAAGCTACCTGCTCAGCAATTTTCAGGCATGTCGGTAAAGCCGTTCTTGAGTTATAAATAGTGTAACTAACACGACTTTCTTTTATATATATAGATTCTCGCGTCAGTTAGCATACTTCTCCGAAACGATTTGACCGATTTTTATGCAATTTTATATGCATATTCGGTACATCTGAGAATCGACTACTATCTAAGTTTTAATCCTGCATGGACGGAGTTTCGATCTACAACTAATTTTTATGTAAAATATTTTTCTATAAATCTAAATAGTAATGTTTTATTAATATAACAATGAATAATCTGAACAATACGTGTGCGTTTTCTACACACAATAAGAGTACAACATTGGTAGCTTTCCATTTTCCTTTAATCGCAATATTACAAGACAACAAAAGAAACTATAAGGCTTTGTTACTTTCAAACGATTACGAAATTTGATAATTTTTTTTTCACTTTGATTACTATACATATTACTTCTTACTATTATAAATGAGAATGTTTGGATGGATGGATGTTTGTTACATAATATCTACAGAACGGTTGCATGGATCTCGCTGAAATTTGGCATACATATAGAACATAGTCTGGAAGAACACATAGGCTACTACTTACGTTGTTTTTTAATACCTCGCAGACCTCGTTGTGTTTAAAAATAAGTGTTTACACTTTTATTAAACCTTAATATATGATAAACCATTGAAGCTTTTTTTCATATTAAGGCATTAGAAAATTAATATAATAACTCATATTGTTTTAAAATGTTAATTTCTTAATCAGTTATTTCATTCTTTTTAACTTAAAGGATTAAGTATACAAGTTACGTATTGTTACCTTGCAATGCTTAGTAAATGAACTCTTTCCTTAAATTAATTTAAGTTACAAACACAGTATTTAACTTAGGGTTTTATCTTAATAGCTCTTAACTTTAATTTCCGTCGACCTGTAATCTATTAAAGTCGTTGAAATTGAAACGGATCTTTGCCGGATATCTCCGGGAAAATCTATTTAATATATGGATAAATTATATAACACTTCATTTAATAAAATATATATTACACTAATTGAAGAACACGATTCCGTCCGCTTGGAATTGAAAAAAAACTTAGTACTCTATGTGTTCTTTTAGACTGTGTTCTACATCTACGTTATCCATTTAATGGTTCTGGAGATACCTTCTAACAAACATCCATCTATACATCTAAATATTCACATTTATAATATTAGTAAGAAGTGTTTTAATATAATTATACTAGCTTTAGCCCGCGACTCCGTCCACGCGGACTTAAAAAAAGTAGTAGTAAATATTTTTGCTAGTGTTTTAGGGATATTACAAGCTCTATTTAAACATAACAAATTATACTTCAAAATATGCCATAATTAGGTCCTGGAATTATCAAAAACTATGGAACTAAATAATGCAAAAAACAATAGAACAATGATAAAACATCTATTTTTCCTACATATTAAAAACTAATAAATGTATACTGTGTTAATCCATTTTTAAACGAACAAAGTTATGTTAGGTCACGTCCCAAAAAAAATGTGTTCAGCTTAACAACTTTTAAAATGTGCTTTGAACGTGACAAAGGTTGAAGAGTGTTAATTTTATTATACGTCAAATTTAACGTTACGTGATAGACGGGTTTGTACTGTCAGTGAATGTCAGTTAAAAATGATGGGAAAAACAAAATACATATTGTATAGATGTTTCCTTCACATCTTCACTCTTCAGTTTAGATGGATGGATGATTGTTGGTATGTATCTTCGGAACGACTATATGGATCTTGATGAAATTTGGCACATACGTAGAACATAGTCTCGCCAGCGGAGCTGGATCTGCGGGAGCTACAAGCGATGGACTGGCAGAAAAAGGCGCAAGACAGGCGACTTTGGCGATTTCTTGTGTCGGAGGCCAAGACCCACCTTGGGTCGATGCGCCAGCGAAGTAAGTAAGTAAGTAGAACATAGTCTACTAATACATATGCTACTTATTAAGTTTTTAATAACGCGCAGACGGAGTCGCGGGCGACAGCTATTACAAGGAAGAAAACTTTTCTTAGTACTAGAATTAACTAGTAGGAAAATTAGTAGAAATAAAACCCCCCATCTAACTAACTTATTTCTCAGAAAATGTTATAAATTTCGTTCAAACATCATTTAAAGTCTACAGAAATTTGTCGTTCATTTAATTTAATTGAAGTTTAATTGTCGAATAATCCAACATCCGGATTTAAATTGTATAATGACACTCAGTTAAGTTTTAATTGTGAAGCTGAGCTTTTAGTCGGGTTTTATCACAAGGGGTCAGAGATCGCTTTAAATCTCATTCTTAGTCTTACTAATTACAATTATCTTAAATCATCTGAATCACGGATAGCTCGATAATTGTTCAGTTAACTTTAAAGCAATTTAATTAAAGGTAGGCAACGCATATGTAATTGCGTATGTCTATGGGCAACGGTCACTTCGCTATTTCAGCGATTTCAGGTGGCCGCTCGCTCGTTTGCCACGTTATGATATAAAAAAAATTTTGTTTATAACATTGAACTTAATAAACGCTCTTGAACTATTGCTGCTTAGAAACCATAAAAAAATTGTGTCAAAACTCGATATAACGATGGCAATTGCAATGGAAATGTAGATAACTATTTTTCCTCTTTCTTTTTTTCTCTGTTTTCATCTAAAGATTCGTTTAGGACGCTAAGATTTCCACTTATTTAAGCTATAATTATAGTTTAGTTTAAAGTAAATGATAACAACTTATATTTATAATTTATGTACAAATAATCTATAAGTTAGATGGACAAATATTTGTCAGGTTCTTGTTCGTAGTATTTTCAGTTGGTTATAAAATTTTCTTCATTATTCACGTGCTCGCATACTTCCTGACGTGCCTTACGTTATTAATTAGAAAATAACTTAAATATTAAAATACTTTATGAATGGTTTTTAATATAATACATTAGTTTGTAATGAAGATACATTATCTCAATAAATTATAACCATAATTATACTGTATACAATATGTATACAGTATAATTAAGATTGTAATTATACATGCATTGTGAATATTTAGTTTAAAAGGGCCTTCCTTTGGATTAAGCGTATTTCAAAATAACATCGAGAAACTTTTTCAAT